ATGATTTTGGACAAATTGGACCACTTTTTGACAGTCATTTCAATGACTTGCAAAACAAAAACAAAAAAAAACCTTTGGAAACCTTTATTTTTAATAGGCAACAATGCCACAGAAGAACCGTTTTTGGTTCTAGGTGAAAAGTTCCAAAAAGAAAATTTTTCCTTAGTGTGAAGAACATTTTAATCTAAAGAACCCTTCTCCACTATAAAGACCACTTTTATACAATGAAAATGGATGTTACAGGTTCTTCATAGAGTGTACATCTACAGTACATTAACTGTTAAGGTCTATATTCTGGATGCGGTCATATTCTGGTATTTGATGCTTATATGCGTACAGTATGCCAGTGTGTATTTTCTTTTCTCAAAGAGTCAAGATACGGTCATTGGTTAGATTTTTAGTATTTTTTCACTAGGGATGTACTGCTGTAACGACTGATTCAAGTCGGTTGAGATGTTAAACAAATCGTGATACAATTGGGGATATGAGTTTACATGAATGCATCTCTGAGGGGAACTGACTGTCTTCAGAAAAGTTTAGATGGTATTTTCTTTTCATCTGGCCTCTGTATAATGCATAATAAAGTATTTATATATATATAATAAAGTATACAGTGCTGCTTTGTTTACAGCGGTAACCAACGGAAAAACACAATATTGCTGCTGTTCCATAAGCGCCACCTGCTGTCAGAGAGTGACTTTGCATTCTCATCCAGCCTGTCTGCTGTTTCCGTTTTGTTCAGATGTTTTATGTGGTAGTTTCACAAAGCTAAAGATGCAATGACTTTACCGATTAGCGATTGGCTCTTTTGCTCAGAAGCCGGGGCTTCGTTCGATAGAGCGGCCATATTGAGTGTTGAATTTTTCTCCCCATTTAAAACTATATGAGTGACACGTCTTGGGTATTCTACAGTCTTTGGCTAAATCCATTCTGTTTTTGCTTCAAATTTCAAAATTATACAATCTAACTTAAATCAAGCCCATGCTGCATGTACGCATCATCTTTGTTTGAATTGTGATTAAAATGCAGCGGTTGCCTCTAATTTGTAATGAAGAGCACAGGCAAAGTCTTAGTTTGTTTATATGAAAATATTTTATATTATTAATTTATTTGGGATTTGTTTTAACATTTAAATTTAGTTTTGTTATGTGACATTTAAATTTCACAAAGAAATGTGCAGCATTTTGTCTGAGAAATAATAAAAGCACTCTTTTCATTTATAATTTCTCTTAAATCTCATTTTGTTAAAATTGTGGGAAAACTGTATCATCAAATAAGTATTGTGAATTGTCTCACATTGCGAGTTGTGTGAATTGTTACCTCCCTAGTTTTCACAATATTTTAATTAGGACTCTAACACTTCTTATCTCCAACAATCCCAACAACACCACCATGAAATGGAAAGCATGGCACAATCATTAATAAACACATGCAGTAATATGTAACTAGAGCAACAGAAGAAAAGCAAGGGGATGAAAGTTTGCAGTAAGGACTAGGGCTGCACAATTAATCAAATTTTTATGGATGCCACAATTACGTAATTGTTCAAAGCGGCAATTAATCGTTCAAAGTCCACTTATGTTATTCTGCGCGCTTAAGATATGTTTTTCTCTTTCTACATGTTATCTTAAGGGTTTTTTCATTGTTTTAATTTTAGTATAACATTATAATACCATTCATTTTGTACTTTTTTATATTTTAAAGAAGAAACCAAACCAATCCGATGTATAGTTGACATTTGAGGCTTAATACTATAGAAAAGCACTAAAGGTTTTTCAGTTAGAGTGTTTTCAGCTTGTTTATTTTAATATAAAAATACGGCATGCAGTTGCATCAAACAATGGTATAAACATCATTCAATGTTAATTATGATAATCGTAATTAATAATCGCAATTACAATTTCAAGGGAATAATCGACAATTATGATTTTTGTCATAATCGTGCAGCCCTAGTAAGGACTTAGTTTACAGAATGGCGAATTCTAGAATGTGGAAGTGCTCATTACAAACTACATGCAATCATGGAAAGTGTGATGAAATCCGGTGATGAAACTGTATGCGCACCTGTGCCAGTTGTAATGCGCTTTACAAACTGGGAAGTTGTGGGGAGCGTGCTTTTTTGGTACATTTTCTGAGTAACACTTTAGATTAGGGAACACATATTCAGAACATTGGCTATTTCAGATTAATATAATACTGATGTGCATGTAAATGTAGTCATTGTAAAGAAAAAGTAGCCCAAATACATTAATTCACACACATTTTTGGTTTGTCAATAGATGTAAAGTGTACAAAATAAGAGACAATTCATGGCTGCAGATGAGACCGTATCAACTCCTCATAAGTAGACAGACAGAGAGATTTAAATATAGACACACACACACACTGATACACATACACAATATAGATACACACAAACAAACACACTGAGACTCACCGAAGCACCCATGATGATAAAGATATGAACGTCAGACTGGTGAAATTCCACATCATCGTGTAGCTCTTTCCTCAGCCGCCCAAACACTTCAGAGCGTGAGAGGGGAAGGCTCATCTTGTCTGTCAAGAGGTCAGAAAAAGATTAAACCACAGATCTCAAGTTGTCCTCATGTTCATACAGTCATATCAAAAGTAGGTTTATGATTTTTTTTTTTTAGCTATCTGGAGTTATATTACAGCTGTATCATTTCTATTAAAAATAATTTCATTTTGTTTAAGAAAAGTTAAACAATTTTAAATTATAAGTGTTTTTAAATGTGCCAAAAAATATTTCTAAAATAAAAGTTAAAATATTATATATTAAAAAAAAAAAATAGGTCAGTGAAAATGTTGGCAGGGCAGTTAATATATAATGTTTTGGAAGATAACAGCCATCAGGATGGACGAGAATGCTGATATATACATAATGCAACAAATGACAACAAAAACAGCAAAATAACACTCTATGTATGCTAATTAGCCATCACCAACCTCAAAACGGCTAAATAAATAAATTGGTCTATCACTACTGAAAAATAATGCAAGTAAAGCTGTTCTCCAAAGAGCTTTTACTAAAGCTGCTAGGGCTGCACGATTATGACCAAAATCATAATTGTCGATTATTCCCTTGAAATTGTAACTGTGATTATTAATTACGATAATCACAATTTACATTGAATGATGTTTATACCATTGTTTGATGCAACTGCATGCTGTATTTTTATATGAAAATAAACAAGCTGAAAACACTAACTGAAAAACTTTTAGTGCTTTTCTATAGTATTTAGCCTCAAATGTCAACCATACATCGGATTGGTTTCTTCTTTAAATTATAAAAAAAGTAAAAATAGGAATGGTATTCTAGTGTTATACTAAAACTAAAATTAAAACAATGAAAAAACCCTTAAGATAACATGTAGAAAGAAAGAAAAAGCATCTTAAGCACACATAATAACATAAGTGGACTTTGAATGATTAATTGCCGCTTTGAACGATTACGTAATTGTGGCATCCATAATTGTAATGGCGATTAGAAATTCGATTAATTGTGCAGCCCTGAAAGCTGCCCAACATATAGTACACACAGTACAATGTCAAATGCATTAGTATGAATATTAAACAAGAAACACAATATCAACAAATAACACAAGCACAGAGTAAGTTTAACTAAATTTCCTGATTCTGAAGACATACATGCTAAAGGAAGTGGTCTAGAAAAAGTATATGCATTTGTTAAAGTTCTTTCACATGCAATAATTCCTTGCCAATGCAGTCACTTGCACTCTATAGGGAACAGATACACAACACCAACTACAGTGTTGACTAGTCTAGTAATTTGACAAATCACATTACAATTGGGATGCATTGGGATGACAAAGTCCTACCACTGTGTTCAGGGACTGTAGTGTGTGCTCTCTCTGTGGCATACAGAAGAGATGCACATAGAAACCTCGTGTGACACAAAAACACAACCTCCCACAAACCCACTCTGAACCTACCTTAATGTTATTAACACAATCCCTTATTTAACAGGGATTTAAATCAGCCTGCCACTGACTGGACTAACAGCTTGCTGATTATTTTACGCAGTGCATCACATTCAAAACAAATGCCTTAAACATCGACATTTGGAATAAAATGAACATCAAATTCTACAAGATAAAGCTGGTAAGGGAAAATCTGAAGTTAGTAGACAGCAGAATATGCACTGCAGAATCTGCATGACAACATGCTACTTACTTTTTAGTGCTCTTTACTTAACCAAACAAAAATAGCAGCATTTAAAGGCAAAAGACCTGTAACAGACTCAATGAAATGTAACAATACCGACTATAGTGCCATTCTTTAAGACAGTTTCCTCCTTCCGTTAAAATGACACGGCGGGCCTCTGTGATTTTATTGGTGTAGAGAAGAACTCACCAGCGCTCGCTCGACTGCCCATCATTGCTGGAGCGTATGACGTCACCGCGCACCTGCGCCGAGGATAAGGGACGTGGGCGGGGACAGACTGCAGGAGGGCGGTGATTGACAGCTAAACGTTCCAATGGCGTACATGCTGAACGCTCTTCAGTCCAATGGAGAGCGCGCATGCGGAATATCTAATGAGAATTAAGTTCTGCTGATAAGAGCTAGAAAAAAGTCGAATGTAGCGGTCTGTAAGAATGTCAGCATGACACTGCAGATAAAACCAAAACAAAAAACACACACCAAAATAAACTAACATACTATTAATAATTGGAACAATTAAGCATATTCGCGTATATATTTAGTATAAAGCTACTTCAATGATTTAGACATTCAGCATTACGTTAACAACTGCAGACAGTGACGGCGCTACACCGGGGCTAGGGGGAGCTATAGCCCCGTCAGAATTACAAAATAAGATATTTTTGATGGAATCTGAGAGCTGTCTGACCCTCTATAGACAGCAACGCAACTGACATGTTCCCAAGTCCAGAAACGTAGCAAGGAGATCTTCACCAAGATCCCTGGTGATCGGATGTGACTCAGTGACTCGGATGTGACTTCGCCTGACTCAGAGATAGCTAAACCCTTAAATTTACTGCAAAAGTACATCCAGTCATTGCACACGTTGCTTACAAAAAGACATTAATTCATCATCAGCATTCATTTAATAAATACAATGGTCAAATGCTACAAACTAATCAGCGTTCAATGCGAGAAACACAATTGTTAGGTTTAATTTAATCAGTTCCATTTCATTTGACAGATTTATAAATCAAATAAGTAATAACTCCTGATACATTGCACAAACTTACATTAGAGCAAAACAGTGATGAAACATTTGTTTAAATATTCATTGCACTTCTGTTTTGTACAATACTCCAAAAAAAGAAAAAAAAAAGAATAAAAGAATCTGATGGAGGATGAGCCCCTTTTGACTTCATATCAGATGAAAGACCAGTGCTGAGAATTGTTGGCAGGGTCACAGTTTTTCATGATGATGTTGCCATACTCCACCATTAAACACTTACTAAAGAGAGCATTATGGAGAAGATATATCTGCAAACAATTGCAAATATATAAAAGGTAAGATAACACACATTAAAGATCAAATTTAAATCTCTAAAAGATAACACCCACAAAAGTTTGAGATTATAAGATAATTTTGTGCCATAATACTGCACTCATTATTTGTGACATTATGCAGCCAGAGGCAAAGGGATGTTGGGAGATGTACCACACCTGTTGGGAAACAAGAATCAAACTCCATGTCTGCTGTGGAGCAGGGACGGTTCCTTCGCCCTGAAAGTTGCACAGCTCCACTTGCACGGGTTCAGGCTCGATCGTCGCATGCAGACACAGCTGCTTATCAATATTATGCCTCAGCTCCTGATGTGATGTGTACTCAAAATACTACAAAGCAAAACAAATGGTTTGAAAAAGTCTAGAAAAATGGCCAATAAAAGATTTAATACTAAAATTATTTTAGTGCTATTTGTATACTATAGTATTTATTAATATTATTTACATATTTATTTGCAGTGTGCTTTTGTTCATTTTGGCCAAACAAGCTAAACAAATGTTTGTAAAAGTCTTAATAATGGCCAATAAAAAAAATAATAATGTGAGAATGACAGCAGTTATCATAAAGTACCTGATTTATTCCCATGTTGTGGCAAATGAATAAAACCACTGACTTCCCTCCAGGATTTTTCTCACCAATATCAAGACAAGTGTTTGTGGCAATGTTCTTCAACTACAGACACAATATGCACAAAAAATAAATATTTTCCTGGTAATAGCTATTGCAATTAATCCGAAATTACACCACTACATTACCGATCCAAACAGCACAGGGTTCAAATCGGGCACAAAGGCCTCAGTGAAAATGTTTTCTAGATACCAGGAGAAATTTTTGCAATGCAGCCTCTCTTTGAGCTTCAGGCGCTCACTGATGTCCCCATATGATTTCTGTGCTCCTCAAAGGTAGAAGAGAAATCTGTGAGCTGTACAATTAAGAGTTTGTAATCTAAAATATTGTAATTTAAATATTTCTCTTACCTCCACTGCAATGGCAGCAGCCTTTTTATTTCTGTTGTAGAAAATCTTCTTGTAATCATCCATCCAGACTTCTGCGAGGCGAACCTGGTTGATTGCGATCACATCTATGCTTTTTGGGAAGGAATGTGGACTTTTGGTGCGAAAGATGTGGCCGACCACAGAACAGGGAATGATCTCTAGACTACCTCCACACAGCCATACCTGCAAGAGCCAATACATAATGTATGACACCAGAACAGTGTGAACAATTTTTTTTATTTTTTATTATTATTTATATAACATTAAAGTATTTCTTAATATTTTGAATTCTCTTTCATTTATATATTTTCAGTTTTTATTTTAATTTTAGTTTGGGTTAATCATTTTTGTACTGTGCTTTTGTCATTTTTGTATATTTTTATTTCACTTAAATTTTTTATTTCAGTTTTAGCTTTAGTAATTTTGGTACTTTTTTTTTTATTTCAGTTGTCATTTTTACTGATATATATATATATATATGTATGTGTGTGTGTGTGTGTGTGCGCGCGCGCGTGTGTGTATATACAGTATATATATAAAATTTGAATTAAATTGAATGAATTGAATTAAAGAAAATGATTTGTAATAGTTAACAATAACAAAACTGTATTAGAATTAGAATAAACAGAGTTGTCAAATGTCAAAATCTTCCATTTCTGTTAACAAATAAATAAATAAATTTAAAAAAAAGTTCACTCAATGGATGCAAAAGATAGAAACCTGTGAGAGGGTCTTACCCTAAATGACATTTCTATGTTCTCTGCTCCCCAAAACTCCATCTTGTCATCATAAGTTCCAACGTGTTCAAAGAACTGCTTGTAAATGGCAAAAAGCCCACCGGCAATAGTGGGTGTCCTGAATGAAAAATTAAACCACATGAAAACTGGTGTCTCATAGGCAACAGCAATATAAATGCAATTTAAATTAAAATGTGTTATGAGAAAGGGGTCTCTGTTTCTGTAAATTTGTAGATCATTTGCCTGACAGGATAGGTTTCGTCTTTGCGTTTCACCCTCTCTTCTTCAGGTATAGTCTCCCAGCCAAAGCTCAGGATCCAGTCAAAGTTCCCACGAGTATGTGTGCGGCCTGACATCACTGGCTTAATGAACTGTAGATCATTCTTGTTGATGACAGCAATGCTTGGGCTCACAACTGTGGTAGGTTCCTGAACTAACCGGGCCAACAGGGGCTCCAACCAACCATAGAAACACTCACCTGAGAAAACACACAAAATCAGTCTAGGAAGTCGACTAATATGCCTACTTGATAACTTCAACTCTGATTAGACTAATGTTTACCATTCTCTCCCTTATGTTTCTCCCTTATATCCTCACAGCTGTATGAATATAATACATTAACCGTTTAGAGGACTAAGATTTGAGCAGCTAAGGCTCATCTGTATGGACAGGTGGAGCAAGGCCAGCCACACCAAAATATTCATCCACTTCAAAACATTGATTCAGTTTATAAATAGAGGTCTATCATAAATTGTTAACTTGTCTTCCTCTAACTTAATATGCTAAGGTAAATTTCGGATTTCTGCTTACTAAATGATTTGTATATATGCTTGCTTATCTACACGGCCTGAAATTTGGTGTGAGGTTGCGGGTATTGCATACACGTGCCACGTTCGGTAAATTCCCCACTTACTTATGAGACGGATCTGCGCTGCCTCGTCTCTCTCTCGGAGACTGGACATACTGCTCTAATGGGGCTTTGAGATGATCTGAAATGAAAACAAATAATCAATACACTAAAACTAAACTACAAGATTTCAAATCAAAGATAGAATGTCTTAACTAGATGCCAATGTTGCGGCGCGGCCCGGTTTAGACATGGTGTAAGACATTGCTATTGTGTTCTGGGTGGTTTCTAAGGCATTACTAGGGTGTTCTGTGTGGTTGCATTGCTGCTGTGTTCTGGGTAATGCCTTAGCAACCACTCAGAACACTCTGGTAATGCCTAAGCAAGTATCACGTTCTGGGTTGTTGCTAAGGCATTGATATTGTGCTCTGGTGGTTTTTAAGGTGTTACTAGGGAGTTCTTGGGGATTGCTAAGGCACTACTAGTGTGTCCTGGTTGGTTGCTAAAACATTGCTATAGGCTGTCCTAGGTGGTTGCCAAGGTGTTACAAGGGTGTTGGTTGCCAAGACATTGCTAGAATGTTCTGAGTGGATGCTAAGCTGCTGCTAGAATGTTCTGGGTGGATGCTAAGCTGCTGCTAGAGTGTTCTGGGTGGTTGCTAAGGTGTTGCCACAATGCTCTGGGTGGTAACTAAGGCATTTCAGGGTGCTCTGAGTGGTTGCCAAGCTATTGCTAGTGTGTCGTGGGGGGGATGATGAGGCACTGACATGTTCTGGGTGGTTGCTAAGTCGTTGCTAAAATGTTTTGGGTGCTGGCTAAGGTGTTGATAGTGTGTCCTGGGGATTGCGAAGGCATTGCTAGGGTGCTCTGAGTGATTACTAAGCCATTTCTCCTGGGTGGCTGCTTACTGGCTCAAGTCGAAAGATGCCATCGCCAGGTCTTTATGATATTCTGGTCTCTAGATATTGCTTGGCTCCTTCCATCAACATAAGTCCATTGAATTTGTTTGCTTATTTTTTTTTTTTTATTGTCGACCTTATTCAAAGAAGGTACCTAAAAATTAGGGATGTGCGGGTCTATTCGGCTAGTCGACTAAACGGTGCAGCTCCTACTAGTCGACACTGAAAGCAATAATCGATTACACGACAGAAAAAGAAAAAAAACCCAATTATAATTCAAATTACCATCATTTTATGTTACAATCAAATTACCATTGTTACATTTAAAACATTTTAAATAACAAGTTAAAACATTTGAAAAAGAATACATTCTTTTTAAAAGTGTATCTGGGCGTAAACTAAATTTTTACCTCAGACCTCGCATGAGTTTTCTGTGTCAGTTGTGGCAAATAAGCTATGCTTTGACCGACGCTGAGTGTATGCTCTTCTTTTTTTATTTTTAACGACCGCCTAAAATGAAATGATGATAACGCGAGGCAAGTGTGCGGCAAGCGGAATTCATTGAGGGATTTGACAGTGTGATTCATAGATTAAGTATTTCAAATGTAGGCTATTATATACACGCACAAATATTTTTTTTCTTACCATCTTTTGGGGGTTTCTTGCTTTTAGACTAGTCGGATACAAAACTTCCGTTTAAACGACAGTCAAATTAGTCGTCGCGCACATCCCTACTAAAAATGCAATGCATATATGCCTTTACTTACCTTGAGTACTTGCATCATCCACCAGTATGATTTCTTTAAGTAAAACAGCCGGTGAAGTGTGTAAGACACTGAAGATGGTGCGGAGAAGAGTGGACCATGCCTCATTGTGGAACACAATGATCACACTGGTAGTGGGTAACCATGGACATCTGCTGAACGTCTGCTCAATGCATCTTGGAGGAGTAACAGTGAACTAGTGCTACATGATCAAAAGGTCAAATAAGAACAATTTTGCTGTCTGCCTCCTGTGGTACTCACTCGAGGGGCCGCGTGTCGACACCAAGACTGCGGTGGAAGGAGATGCGGTCACTGGCAAACTGGTTGAAGCCGTTTCTAGAAAGGCCCTCCTGCTTCTCCCTCAGCTCTGCAGGTGTCAAGATGCCAGTGACGAAGGGCTTTCCATCAGCTCCAGGTCCTTCTGGATCCTCCTGAGGTCTCTCTATGCGAGGCCTGAGCTCCTCCATGCTGTAGAACCCAGAGGGACATCTGGCATCTCCAGATAACGCTAAAGCCCTTTCAAAAGGTGGTATAGAGGTATACATCTGAAAATGCCAGATGCTACTGTAATTCCTACCCACACTGCCTCTATATCCTGGCTTTAAAGAAAGATCTTGATACCAGTAACTGGCAGACCTCCACCCTCCTAGATCCAGCAGTAATACCCATAGAATGGTGATTAAAAGGGTCAGTCCCAAGATGCTCAGTTTTATGGGTAGTGTACATTGAGGACTTCGTAAGCTCATCCTAGAAGAAAATAAAAAACAGAATATTTTATATAACTTTAGCCATTTGTAGCATCTGGAAATGTCTGCAGTAAATCAGTAAATTAGTTTGTGCTGTTTTCAATTTGAGTAGTTGACAAGCTCATAATAATTGAGGGAATAATGAGTGAAACATGGGATATTTTGATTCATTTGTCACACAGCAGAACTATTTTAAAGCTACAATAATGTAGGGGAGAGCGAGGTGATTTGAGCCGGTGGAAGTTGAGCCACCCCTTGTTTCTAGTAAACCATAAACAAAATTGGTGATATGACCACACATATTTGAAGACTTAACCATTTTACTAACCCTGTGATGGAGAGAGGCCCATTGAATAATTGGTAACTTTTAAGTAAAAAAACAACAAAAAAAACTAATATATAAGTTTAACGACCCATGCTTCTTGTGTCTGAACAATTAGACAAATCTGAAAAAAATATCACGCATGTTTGTGCTCTAGGAAGTTATAAATCAAGGCTATAGTTAGTGTTAGCTTTAAACTGCTGGATGATACAAGTTTGGTAAAATGGTAGGAGTGGGGTAATTTGAGCCAAAAGTATCATTTTACTGTAATTCAATAATATTTCATTAATTTTAGACCAAACATTTCAATTAGACAAATCTGAAAAAAATATCACGCATGTTTGTGCTCTAGGAAGTTATAAATCAAGGCTATAGTTAGTGTTAGCTTTAAACTGCTGGATGATACAAGTTTGGTAAAATGGTAGGAGTGGGGTAATTTGAGCCAAAAGTATAATTTTACTGTAATTCAATAATATTTCATTAATTTTAGACCAAATATTTTTGATTTTGTTCTGGACTTGATTTTGTTGAAAATGTTAAACTCATTTATGAAAATTGGTCATTGAAGTTTTATGAAGTTGTATTTCCCTGCAACATTCATAAGTAAGATGTTGAGTAATTAGCCCAGTTCTGTAAGGTCAGTTGCAGTTCAACTTGAAATATTTTGTTCAGAATTTTTTTAAATCATTTTAAAAATGCCTGCAAAGTCAACCCAGTGTCTTGAGCCAGAGGCAGGAAAACTCCCTGGACGAATGGCCAGTCCATCACAAGGCTCGCACATAGATTTTACAAAGTCATATTTATTGAATTTCTCTTGCTTTGATATAGCACGAGGTGAAAATGTTCCGTTTTACTTAAAGGGTTAGTTCAGCCAAAAATGAAAATTAGGCTGCGTTTCACTCACCCCTGATGCATCCTAGGTGACTTTCTTCTTTTAGACGAATCCAGTCGAAGTGATTATTACGTTTTGAATATGGATATTTTTCTTACAAAAACGCATCGATCCGCAACAGGAGGCTTTTGTTCATCCCCCAGAGCCGTGTGAGACACTTTTTTTTGTGGAAGGGTGCTTTTTATTTCACGTAATTTGAACTGAAGGAATGCAACACCCGCCGAGTACAACGATAGAGCTTGATAGATCAAAGACAATTTTTAATATAACTCCGACTGGATTCGTCTGAAAGAAGAAAGTCATATACACCTAGGATGCATCGGGGGTGAGTGAAACACAGCCTAATTTTTATTTTTGGGTGAACTAACCCTTTAAGCATAATCAGTGGCACAGTTTAACCCCATGTGGCTCAATTTACTCCTCACTGGGGGCCACTTTTATTTGGAAAGTCATACATTAAAAGCAGTTTATTTTAGATCCAAAGTGATTATTCCCAAGGATGCACCACATCCTGAAATTTATGTAAATATTTAAGTTGGACCCATTACTGTCACATGCTCACTTTAAACACACTGCAAGTAAAAACTGTCTCAACCCACCCAGCTCTCCCCTAACCTTTGGCCCTCAAGCAGTTAAAAATAAACCTGTGTCTAGTGGAAGAATTGTTTTGGTAGTGCTTCAGCTCTGCTCCTCTGTGCGGATGAATGTGGTTCAAAGCACCGGTGTGCAGTGCACTACGATACAGGACATCTTATCAAAAAGAAATGTTGAGTAATAAAGAAGTCAAACTTCTACTCTTTATTAAATAACTATTTTAATCTATAAAAGAACCACATAGCCCAACCTAAAAGACTATATGTGACCCTGGACCACAAAACCAGTCATAAGTAGCACGGGTATATTTGTAGCAATAGCCATTGCCAACAATACATTGTATACATCGAATTTTCTTTTATGCCAAAATTCATTAGGATGTTAAGTAAAGATCATGTTCCATGAAGATATTTTGTAAATTTCCTACCGTAAATATATCAAAACGTAATTTTTGATTAGTAATATGTATTGCTAAGAACTTCATTTGGACAACTTTAAAGGCGATTTTAAAGGCTTTTGCACCCTCAGATTCCTGATTTTCACATATGTATCTCGTCCAAACATTGTCCTATCCTAACAAATCAATGGAACGCTTACATCAGTGGAAAGCTTATTTACTCAGCTTTCAGATGATGTATACATCTCAAAAATGGAAAGACAAAAGAAAAGAAAATTATAATAATAAATAAAAAAATGTGCCTTGCCTGACAACTAAAATGCTAAAATAACACAAGATTGGCCCTATTTATTGTATCAATACATCTTCCTGCACAATTCATCAGTGCACATTAAAAATAATAATAATAATAATAATAATAATAATAATAATAATAAAATACCCTTATGACTGGTTTTGTGGTCCAGGGTATGGCAAAAGACCTACCTAAATATGAGAAAGTATCAGTAATAGTAAAAATAAATAAATAAAACAAAAATTCCGTAATTTGAAGGATAAATCTGTCTTATAAAAAGGACTGAGGTGGCTCAAAGAATGGTGCTTCAATATAAGTAACGTTATGTACTTACCTGCACTAAAGCGAAGCGTTGTAGCCACTTTTCAGTTGTAAACATACACGCCAGAGAAAATATTTAGAAAATGGCTCGTACTAAATTTACTTAAAGCAGTAATTTATGCCGTCATGCCAGGTGCATCTCATTGGATTATTTAACCCTCGGTTTAATTCCTGCACAAACAAATTGTGTGCTAAGGAACAGCGAATTAGTAAGTGGACTGAGGGGATATAAACAAGAAAAATATTAATGACTTCGAATCGCTTTAGGGTTTAGGTTATAAAAGTGCTGATAAATAAACGGGAGATGGGGGCAGTGCACGTATCCATGGCAACACATTAAACAGCGTTTGAAGACAGCGCGTGAATCTCGTGTTCGACTCTTTTCGTTCGGTTCAGGTCGTCCCTTCTGCTATTGTTTTGCTAGTTCTCATAATACAGTTTTGATTATGGCTTTCTTCGGACTCACATATTTGGGTTATCAGAACCCTTTTGGGGACAGGATGGTAACATCTACCCAGAACAATCTTACACGAGGTATGGCTGCTTTGGTGAGACGTTAATACATTCTTTAGCACATCTGTTTACCTAACGTACAGTAGTGAGGTCCAATATGTTTGTTTTTTCCGTTCAGACTCATTAAACCTGCATCTCGGCAGCCAGAGCAGATATCAGGACTTCAGCAGACGCGTTCAGAGGTGTAAGTTCACACTAAATCCGTCAAACACTCACATACTGAATGTGTTCCATACTAAAGAGAGGCGTGTGTGTGTGTGTTTGTTTAGTTCGTGTAATTATGCTTGCTCAAAATGGATAAAGTGATTTCTCCATTTTGACAAGCTTTTTTTGGTGGTCAGTGTGACATTGATGAGATCTTGTTTATCTTTTTAGCTCCTAAAGAACTGTATCGTGTGCCTGTGACGGACAACCAGCAGTATGGCTGGTGGGTTTCCACCGATGGCCTGAAGAACCAGGAGCCTTGGACTCAAACCCGTCGCTTCCCACGCAAAAACAGCGAAATGACAAAGTATGAAGAATCTTAAGCTATGTAGGCCAATGTGTGTCAACAATGAATGGATAATGCTTTAATAATGCATATTTCACTTATTGTCTCAGGTTTGTGAATGAGATGTCAATGACCTGCCCAGACTTCAGCTTGTTTTGATTCCTGCTCCATGAAACTGTAAGCCAGTGTGTTCACATGATGATCACAGTCCCATAATACTGCAAACACTGCATTGTGTCACTTCGCTTTGCAGAACAGGAGGTTCAGAGGACACACAACTCACACTAATGCAAGTGTAACGTATCCACTGCACATCTATGACAGTGCCATATTGTTTATAGAATTTGGTGCAATAAATTTAGTCCCAATCTGTATGTGCTAAATGTTGTTCTTTGCATATACCTGCATTATGGTGGCTAAGTCCAGTAATAATAAAACAATGAACCATTTGTGAATAAACTTGACCTGAAGCCGTTTCCATTCCATGAGTTTTAGTAGACCACAATGTTCTGATTCCTCTTTCGTTAGTATCAAAAACTGACTACAACAGGATGAAATGATGATCTAGGACCATGTTAAGCTACCTTGACAATAGTATTTGAATTACAGCTCACCATATGCATCAAATATTTACTGAGCAAGGCATCTTGATTTACACGCAACTCTAGTGTAGAGTTTTGAAAAGCAGAAATTAATCAGTTCACATTAAGATGTAAAAAAGTGATACTAGTTTGATTATAGAAGTGATAATCAGTAATTGTAAATAAATTAAAATCTGGTGATGAACAAAATGGTGATAAAACAGGTGAAATCTACAATGTATCAATATTCTGAAGCAAAAAAACCTTTAAATGATGCATCATTTTTATGGTGATGCAAACACAATGCCTAATATATACAAAAATTATTTTTTTAAAGCAATTTAAACAAAACCCCAATAAAAAGCAATCACAAAAAAACAAATAAAACAGAATTTTTTTTTTATTTTTAGAGGGGGAAAGTTTGTCTATATTCATCAAGAGTCTTTTCTCAAAGTTGAAAAGCTCGTCCCTTTTCTAATCCTTCGACTAAAGTAAAAACAAGAATGAAATAAACGAACGAAAAGGTAAACGAAAACAGAGCCAATCAGGAGGCGTTCAGCCCTGATCTAGACAGAGGCCCCAGTGTGAGAGTCAGCAGTACTACAATACACTCCTGCTTGTCCGCAGTACATCAGGTACTGTGTTTTCTTCCCTCACGCTGAATCTCCGTTCTTATACGCTTTTATTGCACATACTGGACGGAACAACAGGGCACCCTGCCTTTGGTACGAACGTGATCAACTGACATGCAATGACCAAACTTCGATCAAAGCAAGTTTTCAATAAGTGAAGAACACATAACAGTGCTTTGGCCGTCATGCAAGTCGCTGAAGGAGGTGAACGAGTTAACGAATGTTGCGTCCACCGGATGAATCGCATTGTACACTGTGATACAAAGAGGCACTGTTATCATATGCTGAATTTGTTCAATTAAGGCAAATGCACTGCAATTCGCACTGCACGCATGCAGTGTACGGGAAGTCCTCTATGTTATTAATTAGCTGGCTAGCAACTGTTTACCTAATGAATTTGAAGTTTACGGTTTAGATATGTATTTTACCAAGTGGCTTTTTCCTTAAAGAGATGTTCACTACAATGAAGCAGAACAAGCGGTGGAGGGAATATTGTTGATCTGATCATACGTCAAAGACTGCAGTTGATCAGTTAGTACCAAATGTCTCAATTCAGGTCTTTGTTCCCTCTCCGGAATGGAATCATAATCGAATAGATATAAGAACAACCAGAGTATGAATAAAAAAAAAATGGATACAGAGGTGATACAAAATACCCAAACAACTTCAGGGAATCGAACAAACAAACAAAAATCGTAGAGAAGATGCCACAATCAGACATGCTTTTGAGCTGTTTAGTTTGGCAAGAAAGCAGCTAGTTGTATCATAGAAACCTCACAGTGAAAAGAGTTATGCCCCTTGGAGATTACAAAGCACAGTATTCAGTCATAATTTATAGATATATTTCTTTCGTTTTTAAAAAAGTCCTTCTAGAATGAATTGGATCTCGATAAACTGTCTTGTACCGTGGTATCCAATGCCGTGGCTTTTCCCCAGATGCCTCGGAAAGCTCTTTTTTTCCTTTTATTTCATTTTGTACCAAAAATACTTCTTTGAAAAAAGAAGAAATGGTTGACGGAACACGAAACAAAAGCGAAGTCTTCCTTGAGGACGCGCTGAAGGCCCAGACCTGGTCGTACTTCCAAAAAGAAAAAGAAAAAGAAAACTATTGTTCCACAGCTTTTCCAAACACTTTTCCACCTGGAATTCGTCGTTCTGATGGAAAAGCATGACTTTAAATAAATCATTCAGTCCTTCATATGATCTGGTGAACAACGCTCTGCCAGTCACCCGCATTGCTGGTCAATCAATCAGTATACTTTAAACGATAAAACATCATAAAAAAAACAGGAATTAAATCGAGGGGTGAGGACGTCAAGAGTATTACATAATATTCAAAACTTCCGCAAACGTTTTGACAACTTCTTTTCTATTAAATACTTTGGTCTTTGGTCAATAGTTCTCTTCTTAATTTATACAGATACTGTATTCGTACACACACACACAGATATACGAGCGTACGTGTTTATGTACGGTATAAATGTGTATGCGTTTTTTTCACACTTGTTCCATAAAGGACTTTTTGCACAAAACATCAAGATCAAAATAAATAAGGAATTCCGAACAAAACATTAGTACCTGTATTTATATTCTCCTGAAATAAAAAATAACAGAGGAAAAAAAAATGTCACACAAAAATAAAACTGGAGAAAATGCCTTATGTACAGCGTTTTTCTTCGGCAAATAAAGGCCTTTATTAAATAAACAGACTTTGCATCTTTCAAGCAGCCTGAGGGAGAGGCTTAAAAACAATCGTCCTTCAAAATGCACAGCCATATCCACGAGTGCCACGACTCTCCAGTCTGGAGTCTGCTTTGTTTTTTTCTTCAATAATCTAAAAGTGATGGCGATGGCTACTTGTTTGTCTTCTGCTTGCCTCTAGAAATCCTCCTCTCTGGGGAATTGTGGGAATCCAAAGGAACTCTAGTGCGCTGCTAACTGTTGGGAGGTCCTTCATTCAGGAAGTAAGTGGTCATCTCACCCTTGCCTTTCACCTTTACGACCCCTCGACACTCCAGCTTGTAACCTTTACCGGCCAACACCTGGTGCAGGTCTGTGGTCACCTGCAAGACATCCAGTAAAACATCATAAAATCCCTTCTAAACGACTTGCTCATTATGACTAAGGCATCTACAGGCTTGAAGGTTTACCTGAATATGGTCTGGGACCCCTGTACTGTCCATCCGACTGGCCACGTTTACTGTGTTTCCCCAGATATCATACTGCGGCTTCCTGGCGCCAATAACTCCTGCGACCACTGGCCCAATGTTCAGTCCTGCACACACACATGCATATGCCAATTTAGAAATGTACCCTTAGTATTCATGTTTCAAAAAGTAAAAAACAAATGGTTATTTAACGTCATGTGACGCCATGTAGTGTGACCAGTATATTTTAGTATTATTTATATACTATATACCATACTATATATTATAGTATGCTATATATTTATATACTAAAATATAGTATTTATTAATATTGTGAATTTGCTTTTATTTTTATGTATTTTTTATTTCTATTTAGCTGTAATTTAAAAAACGAGTCGTCAGTAATTCGAATCCCACTTCTGTGACGGCTACACGTCACGGGTAACACATTTGCATAATGCATGCATATTTTGAGAAAACGAAAGCGTTTTTTGACCTTGCATGCATATAATTATATTGTAGGAGACTCCCAAAACAATATTAGGAACCGTAAAAATGGCATAATAGGGGCACGTTAATATTTTCAGAAAGTTTTTTTTTTAAATGAAATTTCATGGTAAAAAAAAATATTTATGATCATAAATAATTAATTTTAACAAATTTGATTTGTGGGGAGATGTACCACATGACATTTTACAACTTAAACTAATCTTGCCTTGTGGTAAAAACTGAGTTACAATTTTTTGTTTTATCATGGTGGGAAAAAAAATAAAAAAATGAGAAAATTTTCAATTGGTATGTTTAAATTGGTAATTTTCGTCAATCTGAATGAATCCAATCCGATTTTAGATTCTGAAAGTTCTGTTTATATGAATCCTGAACTACCTCGCATTGTCATAAATAGTCACGCAATCATGCACCACATGAGTTTAATTTGGCGGACAAAACTTTTTCAGACGTTTTGAAAAAAAAAATCGGCAAACAATGGACACCTATGTGACCCTGCAGGTTTTGAAACTCACCGATCTTCATCTGGAAGTTGTTGAAGGAATGCTCATTGATGTATTTCATCTGTTCACGGAGGTGCATGGCGTAGTCGGCCAGGGCGGTTATATGCGAGCGGCCTTCCTTGTCATAGGTGGAGTCATTAAGGCCGGATGCAGCCATGTAGGTGCTGCCAATGGTCTTTATTTTCTCCAGCTGCCTGTATTTCTCCTCACTGATGATCTGCAAGAGAGGAGAGATATAGAGGGGAGGTTTTCCTAAATATATATGACCGTTCAAAAGATGCTTTCATATTGGTCATACTGAATGGTGTAATAATGAAAGATTCCCTTATTCTTTTCAAACACAAACCTCATCAAAATCAGCAATGATCTCATTGAGGAGCCTCAGACACTCCACTCCCTCGTTGTTGGCCTCCAGCTCCACGTAGAACTCGGAAAAGTTGCTGATGGAGGCGAACATGACGGCCACACACTCACACGACTGGTAGTACAGCTCGTCATTCCTCCTCTCTCTGGCTAGAAAGTGGGCGGCCACATCTTTGGGCAGGATGTTGTGGAGAAGCCGGCGGTTGTAGGCTTGAAGTTCCTCCATCTCCTCCTTTTCTTCTGTGGCCTGTAGAAGAACAGACAAATGACAGATTTTAAATTCTGAAAGGATGAAATTCTCGATGTATTTTATAAACAAATCGTTTATTGACATTATTGACATTTTATTTTATATCATAATGTGCCAAGCTAACAACAACAAAGATCTGTAGCAGTAGTTCAGTGGTTAAAATTTTGGTGTTGGCCAAAATATTGTAGGCTCAAACCCTGACCTGAAGTTTCCAAAGGAAGTCTAGACGAGCCGTTGACTCCACTTGCTGGGCATGCAGGTACAGTGCTAGTACAAAAACAGTGAGGATCACCGGGGTCATGACCTTTAGGGACACTTTAGTCACCCTGAAAGTACTGAAATGAGAGAGATCAGGTCAGCCACAGGATCAATTATTTACATTACAGCATGGATGTAACAGAACACAGCACACAGCCACAACAGAGAGTTAGTGTCTTCAAGTAAACATTAAAAATCATTCAAAAAAATGATGAAGACATGGAAACAAAGACTGTATTAACTGCACATACCACTGCTCAGTAGTTGTATTGAGACTGGACCTGTGGAAAAACCAAGAAGATTAAACATTTTTGCATTTATAAAAACAATAAATTAAAAATTATGAATAATGGGAAGCATAAGAGATGAATTTAAGTCTCACCATTGCAGAGTTTCATTGAAAACACTAAAAAAAACAGCAAAAACACTTGTTTTAACACAACATAAATATGCAGTGTAAAGGTTAACATTACAAGAACATTTAAACCTTACAGCATTTATTTATAAACAAACTATATTTAAATCAGTATTCAAATCAGAGATATTTTAATCTATTTTTTTTCATATATTTTTATTGCATTTTATTATTTTATTTTATATTATTTCATATGTTATAATTAATATCTCAAATAAGTTTTAACTGAAAAAAAAACTTTAAAATGATTAAAAATAATTCTCGTTAATTGAAATAAAGCTGCTGATAGATAGATAGATAGATAGATAGATAGATAGATAGATAGACTACTAAAACTTAAACTGAAAATATAAAAATAAAACTAATTCAAAATATCAAATAATCATAACAGCATATAAATTATATTTAAATAACATAGTTGCAACCCACAGTATTTAATATGTTAATACTAAATGATTGTAATAAAATATCATTATATTATTGAATATAATCACCAACAACAGGCCACAGATCAGCTGGTATTACGGCTCAATATTATCATCTAAACATAAAGACGCTACAAAGCTACTTCTCTCTGTGGTGTTTGAGCTGTACTGACGCCCTCTAGAGGTTGGCAGCGGTACTCACAGGGCATTGGCAGTAACGAAGAGGTCTGCGTTGTCAAACAGCGCCACCTCTGGCCACTCCACAAGCAGCAGGAAAGTGAGCTGGATGAGCAGCATTAAAGCCAGCTTCCCTATACTACTGATCTGCAGGAACACTGAGCAGGCCAACAGGGTCAGCAGTACACTGTAGCTGAAATACTGAAAGAGGCATAAGGGAGAAAACATGAATCCGGTTTCATTTGGAACATTGTTTTAATCTTAGTGTGACTATACACACGTTTTACCTCAGGGAAGGGGCAGGAGGGAGTGTTGCTGGGACAGATATTCAGGCCGTCGGCTGCAGAGCGAGACAAGTTGTGAATCACACAGGGAGTCACCATTTCTGACGACCAGTTAAATTGCTCCGCTACACAGTCCACAAGTTTCCGTGTATCACAGGAAAACTGCAGGAAACACAAAACATACACTCAGGCTCCAAAATACATAATCAGATTTTCTTCTACATATCAGAAGAGATGTGGAGAAATTTATGGTTTGGAACGACACGAGGGTGAGTAATTAATGACAGAATTTTCATTTTGGGGTGGAGTAACCCTTTAATGCATTTTAACTATAACCGTTGTTTTCGGCTAACATTATTATTGCTTTCTTCAGTGAAAAAGTAATCTCGGCTGAAACAGGAGAGAAATATGCACAGATCAAGCACCATTTACAAGTGAAAACAGTCTAAATCAGTTCTAATAAAATACATTGGTGGGTTTCGAGGTTTCGATATTATGAAATATGGACTTATATTTTGCATAGAAGTGATGGTTTAAAGTCAAAACATTTTAATGGTGGATTTGTTTCTTACAAACACACAGCTTTTCGCTTCACAGTGTGTTAATTGACAGACTTGGGTTGTGTGGATTATTGTGATGTTTTTATCAGCTGTTTGGACTCTCATTCTGACGGCACCCATTCACTGCAGAGGATCCATTGGTGAGCAAGTGATGAAATGATAAATTCCTCCAAATCTGTTCTGATGAAGAAACAAACTCATCTACATCTTAAAGGGATGAAAATTGTCATTTTTGGTTGAACTATTCCTTTAAATGGATAGTTCACCTCAAAATAAACACTCTGCACTTTTCTAATGCTTTTCTACCATTTTTGGAGTTTGACAACCCTGGTCGTCATTTATTTTTATTGTACGGATTACAACACTCAGGACATTTTGGCAAATGTTGTGTTCTGTAGACGAAAGAAAGTCATACACGTTTGGATCGACATACGGTTGAGTAAATGATGACAGAATTGGTATTTTAATTAACATTTGTGACCATACAGTCTCTTTGGAAGAAATAAGATTGTTAGCTAAAGTGTTAGACACACTAATGTTGTGTGAAGTGATTTGGCAGCTCTGCATACCATATTGACAAAGGCAGAGATGAAGACGAGGATGATGGTGAAAACTCCCACCAGTGTGCTGTTGGTGCGAGACTGAACAATCTTCTTAGACACAGTCTGCATAGCAGCAGGGAAGAGCTGCAAGACAGAGCGAAAGAAAGGCCAATTGTACACTTTAGTACAAAACAAAATGCAAAAGAATGAAAAACAGCATAATTAGACATAGCTTACCTTCACACAGGAGTAAATGGCACAGATGAAGAGGATGTTGGCAAGAATGATGAAGATACTGATGTATATTCCCAGCATGACCAGAGTACTGCAAAACACACAGGAGGTTTCAGATTCATGTTAAGTGTGTGAGTGTGTGTATCTGTGTACATACTTAGCCATATATTAGGGACAGTGAGCTAAACAGCAGTGAGCTAAACCTGACAAAACCTTCTTTTGGGGAAGACCTCATTAAAAAAAAAAAACAATATAAAAAATAAAGTTTTTTTTTTTTTTTCAATTGTAATAATGCAGAAAGTTTTCTGTTTGGATCAAGGTGCAGTCGCATTAGCTATTAGCATTAGCATTGTACAAACAGGTCCAGTGTCCATTGACAATAGTATATGCATGAAGCAATGCTCACAGTAAAGTCACTTCATAACCAAGCAGCTTTCTGTTGGTCAGCAAGGCAAATATGTGAATCTAGAACACAAGCGAAATCTGTGAGGGGAACTTTTTTTGCCCTCACACGAAACTATTGGAATGACTGGATTTCACTCACAGAATTTCGCAGAGAAACAGTAAACACGACCGCCATCTTTAAGAGTGTGGGTTAAGGTTATGTTATAGTATTTATAACTAGCTGTAAACAAAAACAAAACAAGGCTAAAGAATGTCCCCATTTAAAGGGACAGTTCACCCAAAAATGAAAATTCTGTCAAAATTTACACTCAAGTTGTTCCAAACGTGAGTTTCTTTCTTCTGTTGAACGTAAAAGATGATATTTTGAAGAATGTTGGTGACCAAACAGTTAATAGTCACAGCTACTAAATTAAACTGGAAAGGGTGGGGAGATCTGGACGGGAAGCTGGAACTCAGCCAGTGTCTTCGAGTCTGACCTTCTTCTCCAGGCTGGAGGTTTGGAAGGTGAGGAGGAACTTCTTCACGTGGTCTTTGCGGAGCTGGTCGATACTGCGAGCGTCAATGGCACGGCCCAAAAACTCATCCACCTCGTCCTCGGGGTTCAGCGCCTCCTGAGCACCACGGCTGCATTTGTGAGCAAAGAACAGTTAGAAAAGCACATTTTTATTTGTACCTTTTATATTCCTTTTTCCCCCCACTGCATTTACTCTCTTAAATCTAAGAAAAAACACTCACTTGTCTTTGCTGGATGATTCATTAATGCCCTGAGTGAAGAGAAGAAACAAATGAAGATTAGAAAGATCTGAGAGTAATGTAGGAGGACTGAAAGAAGCATGTAAAGGCAGAAATCGGCTGAAGGAACAGGAGAGAGAGGTCAGGCGAGTGTCACAGGGAGTGGGTGACAGATTGACCGACAGGTCATGTGGGGTCTCACCATCTGTCTGAAGACTTTGGAGTCTTTAGTCCTGGAGAAGGATCTGTCAGGCACCCATCGCGGTACCAGACCCTCGTTAGAGTTCGTCCGCGTGCGCTGCATCTTAGCCATCATGGCCTTCTCCTCTTTCTGAAACAGTCAAGGACAAAGGAAAAGTTTTGTGCTCAAGGATCTTGAATAAAAGAGAAGCATTAAAATTAGGGATGCATTGATATTAAATGATTTTCATGTTCTGTTATGCCATATAACTGATAAATGGCAGATAAGCAATAAACAGCCAATATTAAAATTCTATTTTCAGTCTAAAACCATAAGAAAAATGAAAGAATAAAGACTAAAAAAGGCTAAAGAGTAAATAAAAACAGTAAACTGATTTTCATATGCTAGATAACCGATAATTTAACAAATAACAGCCAATATTAAAATTAGACTTTTTAGTCTAAATAGATTAAAAAGAGACTAAATAAGGCTAAATACTAAATAAAAACATTTTAAAATGGTTTTTATGTTATGCAAGATAATTATTAAATGTCTAAATTGATTAAAAAAAAGTTATTGAAAAAACAATAAAGACTAAAATCCATTGTTTTAAATGTTACAAATGAATTTATACATCACAAATCATTATAATGTACAGTACTGTATAAAAATATATAAATTTAATTTGAGATTTTGTGATAAATTACACTTTTTAGAGCAGTGCAGTAATTTTCACTTGGTATCATCTCATTATATTTAAAGGGGTCATATGATGTTGCTAAAAAGAACATTATTTTGTGTATTTGGTGTAATGCAATGTGTTTATGCGGTTTAAGGTTCAAAAAACATTATTTTCCACATACTGTACATTATTGTTGCTCCTCTATGTCCTGCCTTTCTGAAACGCGTCAATTTCCGAAAAGCTCATCGATCCGAAAGCGAGGTGTGCTCTGATTGGCCAGCTATCCAGTGCATTGTGATTGGCCGAATACCTCAAGCGTGTGACGAAAATGTTATGCCCCTTAACATACTGTGATGCCGTCTCCCAGCACGACAAGACAAAAACAATAAAACCCATTACAAACGAGGCATTTGTTGCATCCAGTGGGGACATAATTACGGATTATAATGACTATAACGATTATATGATTATAATGTATAATACTGTCTTTTTACGCGTTGCGTTGCGTATCGCGCTGCGTAAACATAAAACCATGTCTGGATTTGTGAACGGAGAAATGACAAACAACAAGTGCTACTCTACACTGCTCAAAACTCGCGTTTGAATCATCAGTGGCAAATTCTTGAAATATAAAAAATGTACTTTCAGGCTGTGAGTCAAAAGCGCCAGACTGTCCTTCCAAAGTTGGAACTGCCCCACTTTATAGAAACAGATACATTTGTATTGTACCGGCATTGTAGGCTACTCTCACAGGAAACAGTCCTCATCCTCCGCAAAATGCGCTGCACACATCTGAATATTTGGGTTGAACTGTTCTGGATATATATATATATATATATTTATAATGATGTAGAGAGAGAGAGAGAGAGCACAGTTATAGTTATAAAAATGTTGTAGCATGAACTCAGCACAAAATGACGTGTCTAACCCGCTTTTGACTGCAGCCCAACACTAGGAAGGTCTCAATGCTGTTCTCTTTCAGGTAGGCGTTTCTCTCCCCTCCAAAACCTGGCTCCACCTCATAGTCTCCATTCAGGTACTGCAGAGTAGCTTTAGTGATATGGATCCTCCTGAGGAAAAAAATTAGTTTCAGTAATGATGTTGCATGAATTTTATGGTTACTAAACAGTCTCTCCAGTGTTATGTATAGCTATGTGTACATGTCTGACTCTCACCCGGCTTTGCCTCCAGCCTCCATGTGGTTGGCCAGCGTTACGTCGTTGGACCACACATCGAATTGCCACTTTCTCAATCCAAGAACTCCACAGTGCACACGACCACTGTGGATCCCGACCCGCATGTTTACATTGACCCCTGTGACCTCTCGCACCAATCTGCAACACAAACATAAACATGTTATTAATAAATCACATGCTGCAATCAGTGTTATTTTAGTATTATTTTTTACATACTAGTATTCTATATTAGCTTTTATTAGCAGTTTTTGATTTTACATTTAGTTTCTTTTAGTAATTGAATGTGCTTTTGTACATTTTATTTGTTTTATTTTGTTTAGTTTTCATTTTTAGTTTTGAAATTTTAGTACATTAACTTTTTAAACTTTTTTTAGTTATTTCAGTTGTTACATTATTTTAGTTAGTTGTTAATTTTAAATTTTTCTAATCGTGGTACTCTCCAAAAAGGAGAAGAATTGTTGAATAAAGTCGTTTTTTTTTTTCTTTGCACACAAAAAGTATTCTCATAGCTTCATAAAATTAAAACCACTGATGTCACAGACTATTATAATGATGTCCTTGCTACGTTTCTGTGCCTTGATCGTGGTAGTTCCCTTGTTGTCTATGGAGGGTCTGAGAGCTCTCGGATTTCATAAAAAATACCTTATTTTTTGTTCTGATGAACGAAGTTTTTTCTTTGCACACAAAAAGTATTCTCATAGCTTCATAAAATTAAAACCACTGATGTCACAGACTATTATAATGATGTCCTTGCTACGTTTCTGTGCCTTGATCGTGGTAGTTCCCTTGCTGTCTATGGAGGGTCTGAGAGCTCTCGGATTTAATCAAAAATACCTTATTTTTTGTTCTGATGAACGAAGGTCTTACGGGTTTGGAACGACAAGAGGGTGAGTAATTAATGACAGAATTTTCATTTTTTGGTGAACTATCCCTTTCAGATTTTCATCTAATATTAGTATTTAATTTTTGCTTTATTTCAATTAACAAAAATTTAAATAATAACAATAACACTGGCTGCAATATATAAGTCTATGAATTTACATCCAATTCATGGAATTATTAAATAATAATAAATACTTATTATTAAACAATAACTATTATAAAATAATATGAACAATAACATTAAATAATAAAAAAACACTGGCCATTTGCCCCAACAGTCAGTGTCTCGCTTTAACTTTAAAATTTAATATAAAAATAATATTAGTTACCATACAAATCTATAAGTGTTTTTTTCACAAATGTCTCATAAACAGATAGACATAAAACATTTAATATCCAACATTAAATTCACAGATCAAAAATGAGATAATTTAACCTATGTTATGAAATAAATCTCACAAAGGTTGATGTTCAGATGAACTGATGCCTAAGTGAGACTTACGAAATGGCTTCAATCATGTCCACCCCCATTTCCACGCAGCAGTGAGCGTGGTCCGCTCTGGGCTCAGGTAACCCTGACACACAGTAGTAACAATCCCCCAGGATCTTGATCCGTAAGCAGTGGTTCTCCTGCGCACACACACACACACACACACACACACACACAAAAGGGAACAGAAGTTAAAGCTGAGGAGATGGCAGCTTCACGCTGAGGTGTAAAAAGAGGGTAGTCATTCTGCTTAGAGTGTGATACAGACAGAGTGTGTGATTTTTGTGTGTGCAGCTGACACCATGTGTAAACGAATGTCAATACTGATAAAAATTCATCAGACCGAAATATATGACAATGGACGTACATTACAGCGAGTAACAGGTCTTAAAAGAAGTCAAAGCAGAGCAACATGAAGTAGTGGTGTTTCATTCCTGAATGAATAAGAGTTTTTAAACTAATCAGTGAATGATTCAATGGTTGGAGAAATGCTAAGAAGTTCTTACAGATTGTTTGATATGTACTGATAATTTATGCGTTTTTAACCTAAATCACAGCAGCGTCTATCTATGAGGAATGTAGGCCGTCAAACATACAAAGCTATTAGCCAATCATAGCAGTGGGTGTTTACTTCAGAGTCTACAATCCGTCACGCCTATTCAAACAGAGTGTTCTGATGAGGGGGGTTAAAAACAGAAAATAGCCTATTGTATAGTTTTTTTGTTGTTGTTGTAAAAATCTTGATAACATTATAAGGGGACCTTTTTGACTTTTTGACCGTTCAAAAGTTTGAGCTCAGTAAAAAAATTGTAATGTTTTTGAAAGAAATCCAAAGTTGCATTTATTTGATTAAAATACAGTAAAACAGTAATATTGAATTATTATTTCAAAATCTGAATATATTTTATGTATTTATTCCTGTGATGTACAGTAAATCTGAATTTTCAGCATCATTACTCCAGTCTTCAGTGTTACATGACCCTTCATAAATCACTCTAATATGCTGATTTGCTGCTCAAGAAACATTTCTCATTATTATCAATATTTTTGTGGAAACCATAATACTTTTTTAGGATTCTCTGATGAATAGAAAGAATCCTGATATATTTACTGAAGTCATGTTCACAAAACAGTACTGTATTTCATGTTTTATATATATTGAATCATGTTGTATTTGAATGAAAACATGAAAACTGTATTCGTAACGCTGAACTAATATCATGCAATCTCAACAATTTATTTAACACAGACTTCATGTTGTCACCATAGTAAACAGACAATGCTGCAACAATAATCCAGCATCTTTTAGGCATTTGTTAATAGATGTGCTCACCGAAGCCAGCTTGTCAAAGCGGGCAAACAGCTCGTTTAGAGTCATGACCAGCTCCTGAGCAGTGCACTGCGACGCCAGACTAGTGAAACCCTCGATGTCTGCAAACAAAATACTGACAAAGACACACACAGAGAGAGAGAGAGAGAGAGAGAAAGAGATTTAAACTGTATGAATTGTTGCTTTGTCTTTTATAATATTCATCAGTCTGTTGTTAACTAAAATGTAGTGCTGTCAAACGATTAATCGCGATTAATCACATTCGAAATAAGTTTTTATTTACATAATAAATCTGTGTATACTGTGTATATTTATCATGTATATATAAATACACACACATACAGTTTACATTTTGAAAATATTTACATGTATTTACATGAATATATTTATATTCATATAATTTATATTATATATAAATATATTTACTATATAAGCGTAACATATTTTTCTTAAATATATACATGCATGGGTGTGTATTTATATATGCATAATAAATATACACAGTACACACACATATACTGTGTAAACAAAAACTTTTATTTTGGTTGCGATTAATCGCGATTAATCATTTGACAGCACTACTAAAATGTAATGCCAAAAAAACAAAATGAATTAAGACAGATTTTAAAAAAGCTGTAATTTTAATGTTTGGAATCACAGAGGTCAATACCATAACAACTAGGTAGAAAAGTATACAGTATGAATGTGTGAATCCCTTGAGCTGAGGGGAAATTCACTCTGAGGCTGTGTGAGAGCAGGCGCTGTGGAGCGCTTTAATTGAATCGTGGCTTCATTTCAGTATCTTCTGGGGTTAGCGCTAGTCTAGTGACTGATAATTAACTATTCCCTCTCTCGCCATAATTAGCTGACCACATTTCAAAAGAAAAGCCCCACTGCTCCTATTACGAGCTCCCAGAGCTAAAGCAAAGAAGAAAAGAGTGAAAGAGGCAGGAGAGATCAATGTAAAGAGTGAAAAATAAACAAAGAAAGGGCCACACGGCCACAGGAGATGATAAAAAGCAAGTGAACAACTTTAGCTAAAAGCTAATGCTAATAGTCAAAGGAGCGGCAGGTTGTAAACGTGCTTCAAAAAAAAAAGAGAACAATTATTGAGACAAATTATTATTCCATATGAAGTTTACATGTCAAAACTGACTATTTACTTTCTAAATAAAATAATGGTCAGTCAATTAAGAATAATTCAGAATCTCACATGAAAATATAGTGAAACTTGTCTTTTGTGCTTATGTAATTAAGGCCATGCGGGTGGGAAAAATACTATAAAGCCAATAATATCCTAAATATTCTTAGATCACTTGATTAGATTGCTTTTTATGATCTAATCCAGTCAAAGCTAATGTGGCAGAGTTTGACGCATAACAGCAATGCTCACCTGACATTGTCGTGCTTCTGGATGTAGATCTTGTGAAACATCATGTCTTCTTTTTTAGCGTTGATGTCAGCCTTCATTTCCATGGCGACATGTCTTGGCAAAACAGACAGCAACAGGCGTTCCTGAAAATTGTAGAGAGGAGAGAGGGAATGTGTGTGAGTGAGAAAGAAAGAAAGATTAGCATGCAATTCTTCTCACTGAAGATCAAACGCCCTATCTTTATGTAGTTGTTCTTTGTTAAACGTCAGCATCCTAGTGCATATATTCTGTTGACTTGTCCAATGACAACTGTTTATTTTATTACATCTCAATTAGATTTATGTACATAGAATAGAATGGCATTTAACAAAATGAACTGAACCTTCAACAGATTCAGAACAGATGCCATATTTTGTGAAAGAACCATCTGTTTGGTGTACACCTTGGTGTCAAACATTCAGCTGACAATGTGTTGAAAATATGCACAGTAGCCATTTAATTTTCATAGAATGGGATGAGAATTTTATAGAATTTCATTTAATCTCATGAGACAAGATTTTATGAAAATATGAGTTCTCTGAGTGTCAAAGGTGGAATTTTATGGAATTTTGTTGATTGGGAATCACAAAATCTTCATATTTAATTTAGTTATGACTGTCACGATATTAGATGTTAACTACATGTTTATCATGGCCAAAATCATTAATGATAACAGCATAATTGCAATATCTATAGAAATAAAATTTTTAGTAAATAACAAACTAACAATGAGCAATACATGTGTTACAGTACATATTAATCTTTATTAAAGTTAGTTAATAAAAAAACTGTCCATTGTTAGTTCATGTTACCTCAGGTTCATTAAATAATATCAGCAGATACAACTTTTGATTTTAATGTATTAGTAAATGATAAAAGTAACATTAACAAAGATTAATAAGGAGATCCACAGTCCTTCAGTCCACTGAAGGAGAATAGAGTGGAACCCAAGAGCAGTTTATTTCAAAAAGCGTCAAACAAATAGAAAATAAACAGACCCAAATGATGACTTGAACTTCACTTCAACAAACTTGACCAGAAACATAACAGAACTCACAAACTGTGGGTTACACTGATCAAAGCTCAACAAGAGAAAAGGGAAACGTGAGGGCTATAAATACACACGGGCTGATGAGTTAACAAGGAACACCTGAAAACAATTACGACAGGAAACAGGAACATGAGGAACAGGAAACAGAAAGACCTAGTCTGAGTCCCAATGTGCATACTATCCATCCTAAATTCTATGTGATATTAGTACTTTTCAATACTATTTAGGGCAGATAGGGTGGATAGTATGCACATTGGGATGCAGCGTAAGATTATGAATAAGACTAACCTTCAAAATAAAAGACATGATGACATCATAAAAGACATGAACTCAAAACATGAAAACATAAAGAAAACACAAACGAGACAGTAAGCGTAAAGGACTGTTCACACTAATAACAATAACTATAACCATAACTATACTGGCGTCCACAACAACACAAAATATTGTTCATTTTATTATAAGTGTTCATGAGCTGGAAAAAGAGATAGCATTCCGCTCTCTCTCTCTCTCTCTCTCTCTCTCTATATATATATATATATATTAGTGCTGTCAAAATTAGTGTGCTAACGCAGGCGATAAATTTTTCCAGTTTAACGACATTAAAAATATTTAATGCCGTTAACGCAGGGGCGGAGCTAGGATTACACTGTGCTCGCAGCGCGTGCTCTTCAATTGCACGCACAAATACAGCAGCGTGCGCTGTAGCCTGTATCATTTCATATTAAAACTCGAATGAAACTACAAGCATGTGTCAGATTCCCGGCAGCGGCAGCAGCTCTTAAAGTAATAGCAGCCAAATAACCTAATAACCCAGCTGCTGTGATGTCTGTAAATCAAAGAACAAAAGAGAGGAAATCAATAACTTTTGAAGCTTTAAGGATTCCTCTATATCTAATTGTTTGATAACTTTATTCAATTTCTGTATATTTCCTAGTTGCTGAAGGGCACAGGTAAATATGACATTTATTATAATGGGTTTATGTGAAGATTGTTATAAGTTCACTTAAATTAGAAGTTATTTTTTAAAGTCTAATAAATGTTAAACTTGATAGCTCTCAATTATACTGTAATGTTGAATGGCAATAGTCAATGGTTAAATATTAGGAAAAAAATAACAATTTCCTAGAGACATCAGTAGTATTGGTATCAGTCATAAAAAATCTTTATGTTGTTTCTACATCAATTTGAAGATTGAATGTGAAACTATTGCAATATAAGAGAGTATATTTAAAAACTTTAATGATTGATCGTGATTAATAAAAAAAAAAAGTGCAAAAAAATAAAGATTTTTTTTTTTTTACATTTTACTTTTATGATTTTGTGCAGCATTAGTAGCTACATACTGCATTGTTTTTTCTGTTCTGTTATTTTCAGCAATACTGTCACCTACTTTGTTGGAGTGTCAACCAGATGGATTATTTACAGTATTATCATGATATGTGCAGTATTAAAGGGATAGTTCACCCAAAAATGAAAATTTGATGTTTATCTGCTTACCCCCAGGGCATCCAAGATGTAGGTGACTTTGTTTCTTCAGTAGAACACAAACGAAGATTTTTAACACAAACCGTTGCAGTCTGTCAGTCTTATAATGGAGGTGAATGGGAATCACGGCTTTGAGAGTAAAAAAAATCATACACAAACAAAACCAAATTAAACCCTGCGGCTTCACGCAATGATTCACGCAATTTGACAGACTGCAACGGTTTGTGTTAAAAATCTTCGTTTGTGTTCTACTGAAGAAACAAAGTCACCTACATCTTGGATGCCCTGGGGGTAAGCAGATAAACATCAAATTTTCATTTTTGGGTGAACTATCCCTTTAACATGATATCAATATAAAAATGTTAAAAATTGATCATCAATACAGTATATTATGAGACCCCTGCAATGGATGAATATATATTCAGAATTTGTTGAAACTTTTTTTTTTTGTTTAAAAAATTGAAATCTTTTGTAAAAATGATAAATGCCTTTACTGTCACTTTTGATCAATTTAATGCACCTTTGCTGAATAAAAGTACTAATTTCTAAAAAAAAACAAAAAAAAAAAATTTTTGAACGGTAGTGTAGCTAGTAAACTGTACCAGTGAAGGTCATGGCCTCAGCGCTGAACTGACCTGCTGCTGGTTTTCTCTTTGCAGGTGCAGTCGGGCCTGGATGTAGCCTCGCGTCTCCTGAAAGGCTTGTCTCTGAGAGACCTCTGCTGGGTAGTGGGTGCAGATCCCAATGATGTTGGTGCACAGGAAGATCAGCACGTTTGCACTCAGCTGAGAGGAACAGAAAAAAGAAAAGCAGACTCATTCAATGTCTCTCTAGTGATCAGTTGAACCTTTCAACAAAAAACGGCTTTAGCTCAGCGCTCTGGAATCCTGGGACATCTGTTGTACTCTAGGGCTTTACTCAACTGCAGTATGGGAAAAAAAGCCAACCTCTGACCTGGAGAGGCTACTTCCCGTAGAGACGTTTACAATAGAGGAGCCAGAACAGAGCTAAAAATGGAGCCTGAAGCAGAGCCAACACTGTAACTTCCTTTGGGTGAATGAGAGGAGGGGTTGATGGGAGAGAGATGGGGGTTACTCCAGGTCACACGGTTCACACCATTACACTCGGCTGAAACACTGCACAATCACTATGAAACACTTGCTGGCCTAAAAAGCCTATCTTAAAATATATGCTAAATAATTACCAGAGTAGACATCATGTGGCTGTTGAGAAACCATTTGTGGCTATGCGAAGCTAATTACAATATTTGATTGAAAAAATATAACCAAAATAGTAGGTAAAAAAGTAAAATTAATATTGCTAAAGCAGATTCCATACAGTTCAGATATTTTATTGCATGAAGGGCTGGGCAATATGTTAAAAAATATATATCTTGTTACTTTTTCAGCCATGTAACAATATTTTATTTGAAAAATGTCTTAATGTATTACTGAAATGGCATTAAATTTTTTTTATTTTTTTTACTTAACCACCAAAATGTTAAATGTTTAACACAAGAAGTTAAATTTAAAAAGGTTTCAAAAATCTATAAATAGAATAAAACAAATGCAGCAAATCTACTTAAGATAAGATCTAATAATGATGGCTAATAATGAAGGCATGTTCAGAAATATTCAGATCTGTGCATTTTTTGAAAAAAGTCTCATATTTACCAAGGCTCAATTTATTTGATTAAGAATACAGTAAAAACAGTAATGATGTGAAATAGTATTACAAATTAAAATAACTGTTTTCTATTTGAATATATTATAAAATGTAATTTATTCCTGTGATGTAAAGATTATTTGAATATGGTGATTTGGTTTCTTATTATCTATAATAATCTATACTCAGTTTGGAGTTGTTCAGTCCTTAACTCTGTATTTTAGGAGCGTGAGCGCAGTCTGAGGTCAATCGCCGCTAAATTAAGAGCTAATAATGGTGGAAAAGTAATCAGTCAATAAGCCTTCTTCCACTCTCATTGACCAATCAATGCCCAGATCAACCATGACCATTTGATATTAAGAGTAAGCTATGAACTATAAAATAATTGTTCACTGCCACTTTACAAACAGGCAGGTTTAGCAGCCATATTAATCTAATAGCCTCTCATAGCTGACTGGATATGGATAGTTTATGTCTGTTCTGAAAACTACAGAGGATTTATCTGAAGTGATAGCAGAGAAAATGTTGTACTGTGTGCTGCTCTACATGACATAAAACAATAGATCTGACAAACAATGGTTTTGCTCCTGCACACAGAATACGAAATGAGAAAGCAAAGGAACAGGCGAGAGGCAATGCTGTAGCGCAGTGTGTGTGTGTGTGTGTATGTGTGAGAGGCTGAGCCTGCTGGCCACACTGACATTAGGCAGATGGCTGTGAGCTTTGTTTACATTAGAGTTTCTGTTCAAGCAAAACCAGGCCTGGTTTGTGTGTGTGTGTCTGTGTGTGTGTGTGTGTGTGTGTGTGTCTGTGTGTGTGTGTGTGTGTGTGCATGTGTGAGTCAGTGTGCACGTGCAAATGGACGCTTTAGTGTTTTGACTGTTGACATCAACAATAGTGTTACACCTATAGAGCAGTCAGTTTAACATGTTTAAACAAATAACACCTAAATGTAAAACAGGGTAAAACAGAGCAAAACAGAGTAAATCAAAAGGTAAAACAGGCAACTGAGAAACATTTTAAAGCATTTTAGCATTTTATCTTCAGATAGAGATAGATAGATAGATAGATAGATAGATGATACAATCCTTATGATACATATACACACACACACACATATAAATGAAAACAATTAAAACTGAAAATACATAAAAAAGCTAATTCAAAATATTAATAAATACTATAATTCTAATATAATACTAAAATAACACTGAACAATATTGGATATTTAATTGTTTTCCTCATTTTTAGTTTTTAGAATTAATAATAATTTATAAAAATTAATAATTTAATAACACTGTTTTGTAATATTTAGCAACTCTCAAATGAATATAAATTTTTCATACTGTACATAATATAGATGTTATACTTAAATGTACTTGAAGCATTTAAAATGATTGAGTTTTTATTGTTTTATTTTTATGTATTTAGACATTAGAACAGAATGTTTATTTATTCTGTACAATAGTACAGAATTTTAACATTGGCGATGTATGTATTTATCAGCCATAACATGTAAATAATCTGTTTAATAAATAATTATTAAAAAATTCATCCCTAATATAATGATTTGTAAAGCCACTGTAATACAAATGCATTACCTATCTTAGACAATAATTATCATCTGAATAATAATAATTAATAATAATAATAAAAATATCTTCATAATCAGCCAGCCATAATAGATTCAAGAACATTTTAAAATCAAACAAAATATATTTGTTTGACATAAAAAATGTGCTGATTCTTTTGACTGACTATTGGTTATGATCGGTGTGTGTTATCAGCTGTGTGTTCATATCACAGGCAGGTCCTAATTGCTCGCTCTTCACCAGAGGGCGAGGTCAGTGGGTTTACACACACACACACTTGGCCGTTCTGTTTGCGCAACTTGACACCTCTCTCCTTCACGCTCAAGATTTATTAGCAATAACCATCACAAGCGCTGGGACACAGAGAGAGAGACACCGTTCACTCCTTTACTCTCTGTCAATCTTCTCCTCTGTCTCTTTTTCTGTGTCTTTCAACTCACAAATCATCAAATAAATATATTTTCCTGACTCCCTCACAGCGTGTTCTCACACACCGGCTTCAAAAGTGACATATTCGCTGACACTGAGAACATCTCTTCCCTTAAAGCCGATGTTAAGAGATCCATTTTGTGTCTGCCAATTCTTTCCAGTAAAAGTCAACAAGCGACGTGTAGAAACTGTCATAAAAATTATATTATGATTACTGCTCACTCTGAATGTCCATGGCAGTGTTTATTGCACAGCGTGGTGAGAAAGAGAGCATCTAAGGAATGTTCCGGGTGTAAAACGACTTAAGCTCTATGAACAGCATCTGCGGCATAATGTCCATTACCGAAGAATGTAATATAAGAGCTAATAAAATCTAACAAAAACAGTGTCTTCTTACACTGGAAGTCTATGGGCCGACACAATGTAATTATAAAAATGTGCAGCTTCTGTTGTTCAGTACAAGGTTTGTTATTTGAGCTTTAATGTTGTTAAAATTGTCTTTTCAGATGATTTGGAATGACTTTTATAGGTGGATGAACTCATGTGTAACTAAGGTCATTCCTGTGAGCATGCAAACCATGAGAAAACTAGGTTTAAACAGTCAATGCATGAGTCATTTTTGGACTATTTTTATGAAGGTGCATTTTTGGATTTTGACAGCCCCCATCCCAAATCAGTTCCCAGGGTTTCTGGAGGTTTTATGAAACTTGACTTTTTAAAGACCTTTTAAGACCACATAAAGAATATGGAAATAACTTTTACTGTACCTTCTGATCCCACAGCGTATTTTGTATTTTTGTCTTGTTTTCTTGCAATGTATAAAAATTCAAATGTATAAAAATTCATAAATTAAGACACATTTACTTGAGTAGCAAAATTACATGATATAAGTTTTGTTTTCAAAAAAAAAATGAAGTGAAGTGAATTTGTGATTATAACATGACCAAATATTTTCCAAACGGGTCAGAAAAATAAACTCACTTCAATGGGGGAATATATATATATATATATATATATATATATATTGGTAGATAATTGTTTTTATTTTATATACAAACTCACTTAATTTTGTTCAATTTCTCAGAAAACAATGTCATATCTTAATTTTGCCTATCAAGTAAATGTATCTTGATTTAAGCATGTTTATATATTTGTAATGGAAAACAAAGATAAAAATACTGCGTATAACATTCATTTTTTGAAGTGCATGTAACATTAATGCCATAACTTTATAAATATAAGACTTTCAGCTCTGATTTAACACCTATTAAGGCTGTAATTTGTGAAAGGGTGAATTAAGACTATTTTAAGACCTGCAGAAACCCTGATTTCAGAGATGAACAGTAGAATAATTGCTTTAAATTGTTTTATCCCAGAATGTTCTTTGTATTTTTTTCAGTGTTTGGCAATATGAAGACACAAACCAGGCAGATCCCAGACAAATCTGGTGTATAAAAGTATGATTTTGCTTTGTGTTCGCTTTTACTGTCACTGTTCATTCATTAATTCACCACTTCCGGGTATTTGTGAATTTATTATTTTTTTTGTGGGTTTGCAGACCCACACGTCTTCTTTCTCTGCGCTGGTATGTGTTTACGTACCTGTGGCTGCTCCAGATATTATATAAAGCCATTATGATCATTGCAGATTATGTCCAGCTTTTGCATCCTCTGTGATGTCACTAAAGGGGGTGGGGTGGGACAATACGCCTCGCTTCGGAAATGAAACCTGTGGAAACTACTGGGCTTTGACAAAGAGTATATTCCCACGTGCAGAAAACTGAAGCCTTGAATATCTGGATGGGATTTACAGTACGAGTATGAAGTGAGAGGGACAGAAATAGATTACGAGGGAACGGTGGGACAGTGACGGAAACATGATGACAACCTTAACAAGACAGGTGGCATCTGAAAAGGTACATACTGTACCGTTCATAAATGATGTATGACTTTGAACAAGAGCTTAATGTGGCATTAGATCAATTTACATAGCATAAACTATCATCAAAAATGATAAACTGGTCAACATCCAGCTATTATTCCTTGCTATACACTTTTTAAAAAAAAGCAAGTACTTATTTTCCAGTTTACAGGACATTTTGAGTCACAAATACTAAGAATTGTGAATT